CCTCAAATTCAAACATTTCAAGATTTCTGTGTCCAGAAACAGCTACAGTAACATCATGCACACCGATATGATGTTACTTTATTACATCACTGTGTTAATGTGGATTTTTAAAAGTGTAACCAGTCATTGCACTAATTGGGATTTCTTTTAGTATCTGATTTTACTACTGAGAGCAGCATAAAAAGAAAATTCCAGTTATTAATTTCTGATTTATTCCTCTGTTTCTTTTGTGCTTTTGCCCCTTTTGGCAGCACACAGAGAAACATTTCCACCTACATTCTATTCCCTCTTCGGTGGGTGTGGCTCAGAACAGATCAAAAATAACTTCCAAACAAGGTTATTTCCCATAAAGATACTCTACCTTACTCTGAGGAATTCAGCTGCTTGCTTGGTGTCAGGTGTTGACTGTGTTGCAGGTGAACTCTGCATGCTGAGGTTCAAAAACATTATGAAGTGCAGCGTGTGTGAATTGTCCCCAGGCGTCTGTCCCCCGCAGCACCAGAGAGTTTAGAGCTGATAATCTGTGGGAAGTTTCAGTGGCAGCAGTTTTAGTTTCTGACAGAACGCATAAATGTCACTCAGAGCAGCAACAAAACCGGCTATGAAACAGCTGAGAGCTTCTGGATTAGGGTCAGAAGCTGTGAGATAACAAAGCTCTTAGATTAGAGGATCCTTCATGGCTTTGAGATCTGCACTGTAAAACAAAATGTTGTGTTTAATGAAAGGTTTCAAGTCAACACAACTTAATTCTCATCAACTTGTTGTTTGTACTGATCTTAAACAAATGGTGTGAACCTTTGGATTAAAAAAATGCTTGATAAGTTCATCTATTTATGTTAAACTAATGCAGAAAAGTGAAATATTTGATTGGCCAAAAACATATCCCATAATGCATTGTGCCACCACCAACAGCAAGTAATAAAACAGCTTTTTTATTTGTCACAAAATATAGTTTTAAGATGTTTAAGGTGAAAAGGTAGACTCTAAAGCCAGTTCATGAAGAATTTCATAAGCAGTGAAGCTTTTATTAGATGTTTATTAGTATTTAGATTTGCATTCATGGAGCTTCACCAACAGTCAGTTATATGTTCACTTTCATGACCACCTCACTCTGAATTAGGATGCAGCTTGACATATAACTTTATTTGTTTTACTGAAAACTGCTTTCTACGTTTTCTGTCAAAGTTTGAAAACAAATAAAAAGCAGGAAATGTTTCAGGGATGCAGTTTTGTTTTTATGCCAGTAGTTTTAGGCTTTGGGTGTTGAAGACGTTACAACATGCTCCATTTATTAGGTTCACTGAAGTTACAGACATTATCTTAAGCTAAAAATTTTGAGACAACATGTTTGCATATATTTTTTTCAAGTAAGCAGAAATAATGAGGTTTTACAGTATAGTTGTGTGTTCTAATGTGTCATTACAGCTTACTCAAAATCATCTAAGCAGAATAAACGTAAGATATACAGTTTGCACATATTAACATTTTTAAGTTTTGAAAACTTGATTTTTTTCTTTTTGAGGCAACGAGTTTGCATGAATCTTGAATATTAATGAAATCCACTTATTGTGTTTTACAGTGTGTGTGGTCAGTGTGTTCTCACTGACCTCAAGCAAAGGTCAGAAACATTTAGTTATGTTGCTGCAGTAGACAAAAAACTTTGAGGAATCCTGAACAATCAAACCGGAGAAAAAAAACAAAAACAAAACACAATCCAGGAACAGACAGGAAGGGGGGGTGTCAGACCAACGAGGAGAGTTTTCACAAGTAGTCTTGACAACTTTAAATTATAGTCAACTTCAAATATGATGCAAGCAACACGGAGCTGCTGGAACGTCTGCAAGAATCTCCTGAATGACAGTAGCAGGTATTTGAAGAGTGGACGATCTGACTGGAGTCTGATTATATTCACATGCAAACCAAATATGGATATGCAAATGATTTGATTTGCAAGAAGAAACCAGAAACTGTCAGTGACAGAGTAATGAGTGCAACAGGTGTGTTACAGACAGTTGCCGTGGCGTCTGACAGGAAATTATGTTTTCTCCTCCTCATCTAGTTGGCTGCATAAATCAAGCCTTGTGTTTGGTTAACCTGTTGAGCAATTGAAGAGGTGTACCTAATAAAGTGGCCAGTGAGAGTTTAATGCTGTTCAGTGGTTATAGCCACAGCTTACAGGATCATAAATACATATATGAAACATCATAGTGGTTATGAATATTCATGAAACCACAAAATGTTGAAATCCTGTTGGAACACAAACTGATGACATCATATTGATTACGTTATTGGTTATCTTATTGATTATATTTTAGCTTTAGGCACTAAGTGCTCACAGTACATATGAGCCTCCTTTCCAAAAGGAGCAGGATTTATTTTTTTTCACTGCACTGAACCTCATTGAAAACCTCCTGATTTCTGAATTCTTCCTGAGTTAAAACATTAGTATTGTTGTTTCTAAATGAATATGAACTTGTTTTCTTTGGATTATTTGAGGTCTGAAAGCTCTGCATTTTTTCATTATTTTGACAATTTCTCATTTTCTGCAAATAAATACTAAAGTTTTTCTTGGAATTTCAGAATTAAACAACAATGTTCATTTTACTCAAACACAAACCTAGAAAAAGTAAAATCAGAGAAACTGATAATCTTGCAGTGGTCTCTTCATTTTTTCCAGAGCTGTACTGGAAATCACTAAATACATTAAGCACCTTTTGAACTTCCTTAAATAATCCTAAAGAGAGCAAAGGAATTTTTAAAATAAAAGCTGAGCCTTTTGGAGGTTTTTTCAGCTCCAGAGGAGTAAAATAAAAGCTGCACGGTGAGCAGGTTTCTCTCTCAGCTGTGCTTCACCCCTGATTTTCATTCCAAAACTGAAGATGGTCACAGTTAATGTTGGTATGCAGCTCTGACCTGATGTGAGCCATCGGTCTGCAGACGGCACACAGCGTACTTTACACTACTGTATTTGTTACAGCGCTAACTTTGATCTGATCTGGATTAAATAGCATAACAAGGAGCGTAACGGCAGACATTTTTTTTATACCAGGAGTGCTGTTTATCAAAAACTCCTTCAGCTGACAACAGGTTCCCATAGCAACCCAAATTGAGCTACAAACGCTGCGCAGACCTGCAGGTCTGACAGTGGAGCCTCAGGTGATGTTTCATTAACACACAGTTCAAATTTGTAGAGGAAAGTGTCTGAGGCAATATGAGCGACGGTGATTTATGAGAACTTTCTGGCACTGAGACGCATAACTCAACCAGGCTTATCTCCTGCAACTAAATAACAACAAACCACACAGAACCGTTTCCTCAAGGGGAAAACAAATCTTTATTTTAGATAACTTACACATGGTGTCCTTCAGTTCCCATCATAAGAGTAAATCAAGTCAGAAAGCAAACAAATAATCTGAGAACTGAGTTGGATTTGTTATTTTCATGTCTATGTGCATAGCTGCTCTGTAATGTGGCTGTGGAAAAGAAAAAAATAAACCTTCACCTGTCTGCCCAGATAGAACCTTATCTGGAAATTTATATGACCAATTCTGATCCCAAAGAGACCCCAAAAATGACATCTGAGCCTCCTTCATATGTGGTACTGAATCGTTTACAAACCAGACAGTATTCAAAGTGTCCTCAGTCTGAACTGCTGTGTTGTATTTAATCCGATTTTTACATCACTGATACTTTGGCAAACAGAGGGAATCTCTGTCACCTTTTCTAAATGATCTGCAGTCCAGATTTGTTCTAATAGACTGTAGAGATCAGCTGGAGTTCATCCATGTAGAAACACGTTAGCAACGTTGAGCTATTTAGTTGTTTTTAGCTTTCTCTTGACTCAAACTTCAAAATTTCAAACTGTATTTTGACGTGTTGTAAAAAGAATGTCAAAGCAAAGTTTTGTATTAATTCAGAGGAATATCAATAACTGCATTTTCATCACCCATAAAATTGAAAATACGAAAATAAATTTGGACAATGGAAACACATCCATTTCAAAAAGAAAAAAAAAACCCTCTCGCTTTTCAATAAAAAGTTTTTGCACTCGGATGTGATGTTTTGTCTATGGAAGAGGGCCACTGGAAGAACAAAAAATTAATTCTGACTTTGATCTCAGAATTCTGACTTTTGTTGAGGAAAGTGCCTGAGGCAATATGAGCCTTTTCCTCAGAAATTTGAGATTAAAGTCTTCCAGTTCTGTTATTGTGTCACTAGTTCTTTTAGACCATCAACAGCAAAAACAGAAGGAGCATTTTTACAACTTCAATTTCCCCAAACGGTTGCAAACACTAAAACAAATGAAATCATTCCTGGATGCCTTTCATGCAGCTGCAGTTTGTTTGGCCTGAGCCAGAGTCTCTGCCTCACAGCAAACAGTCACAGACAGAAAACGCCTGAATCTCACGGAGGTTCACTTCTGAAGACGTGTGTCGATCAGAAATACAGCATGAGCTCCTGTTGTTCTCAGAGGAGCTCCAGCATCTTCTGGCATTTTTAAATAATAAAATAGATGCCCAGCATTATGGTCAATGTCATCTAAATTCAACACAGTAGATATGATAGTAAATGCCTGCAAATGTGCAAATGCTGCATTTTAGCTTTGAATAGTTGGATAAACTTCTGCAATATAATGTATTCTCTCTGTCAGCTCACTACATCTAGCTTATAGTTGAATATTTTGCAATATATACAACTTATATATTTCTATAGAGCAGAAAAATTACATCTACTAACATATCAGGAAGTTAGTCTGAACAGAAATGGAATGACAAGAATGATTTTTGGTCACAATTTCAAACACAACAGCATTCGGTGGTGCTCAAAAAGTCCATGTCATATCAAACATGAATGATTATTACTCATAAAAAACACAAACTGTCTATGTGTTTCTGATTACTCAAGATACATCTGACCTGTCTGAACCTCAGTCAATATATTTTTAGAATATTGAGTTTTCAGAAGCATTCCAAAACAGTCAATGTCATCTACAGTTAGCAGGTAAGACTGTCATCTGGTCCCGGAGAATCTCACATAATTGTAATTCATTTCTTAATATTGTCAGATGACTACAGCAGTCAGGGTGATTTTTTTTTTTAAATGCTTCATTAAAATTCACCTGAGCATTAGCAAGAAAAGATTAGCTGTCGGCTGAATCCAAAGAAAACTTGATCAACTACCGGGAGTGTAACTCTAAGTCCAATTGATAAGACTCGGGTTCTTATGAATGTAAGAATAAGTAAGAGAATTTTTAAATTATTTCCAATAAGAGTAAAACATCTCGGTCCAAATTTGACAACTACATCTCACCAAAAAGATAATAAACATAGTATTTTTGGCTTCTTTAACCTGGTATTGTAAAAATAAATCTGCTTAGTGTTGAATTAGGTTCTGTTTTGATTTTCCTGAGTATTTTAGATCTGAACTAGAGATGACACAGCTGAGGCTCGGTAAAAAAGCTAACTTTAGCATAAGTAGCAGCTAGCATTTAGCTTGTCCACCTGTTTACTGTCAGAGTAAATATTTGACCAAATGCAGTCTGGACTCACAAAGAAACTCAGAAATAGCCCTTCAGCTCTGAAAGCTCCAAATTTGATGCAAATGGCTGAAGGTTAACTTTACAAACATCGAAGGCTGCCAAGCAATTCTAAGATGGTGGAAACTTTTTTTTTCTACTGCTATTGCAACACAATGTTGTTAGTCCAACAAGCAGTCTTTAACAGTCAATCCAACAACACAACCAAAGAAACAACTCCGAAACAACTTCCTTTCTCACTTCAAAATAAGACTCTCAAATTTAGCGCCATCCTAAAGCCTAAAGCACGCAGCTTCCTGTCTGAGGCCACTGACAAAGTCACATGATTATAGCAACTTTTTGAGACACTCTTCATTAAAACATGAAATATACCTTTACTAGGTAGTCATCAATACTTCACCCAAACCCACTTCAGAGGAAACAACAAACAGAACAATTAAGTAAACGCTACGGAACCATCGGCTAAAGCAAGATGAGGTTTTCTGGTCATACTCTAAACTTCTTTTCCCCGATGATTGTCTTTTATTTTGCACACCTCCTTCTGTATCTTATACTGAACGTTTTAAGAGCTCACGTGTCCCTCGCCCCTTTTTAACATTTCCCAACGACTCCCTTCTCTCGTCGTCACGGTGGACGGAGAGCTGTCTGCTTCAGTTCTCTGTGGTTTCAATCTGAATGGAGGACAAACATTTCCCCAGGCTCTGGAACAGCGGCACTACGAAAATGTCTACCAGACTCCTCCAAATCTTCTGTGCTGAAGGCAGGAGCATCATGAAGCTCTGGACCACTGGCATCACCAGCCTGCACAGGCAAAAAGAATGAAATCGAAATAAAATGAGGAAAAACTCTCACTGATATGGGAATAAAGTCATACAGCATAAAAGTCATAACAGTAGAAGAAGAAAAGTTGGCATAATATAAGAAGAAACTCAAAGCATTTGAAGAATAAAGTTGGTCGACAATAAAGTCACGATAATACAAGAAAGTTGTTATTAACACAACTTTTTTCAAGTAATTTTGAAACTTTTTTCTGGTAATATTTTGTTTTTATTCTAGTAGCATCACAGCTTTATTGTAGTAATGTTCTGATTTATTTAAGTCATAATGTTTAAGTCGTAATTTTAAAAAATATCTCTTCATCTGGCTTTCATATTCTGTCGTAGAAGTGCTGGAGAAGAACAACCTGGAAGCCTATCAGCTATGATTTTATATCTAAAAAAAATAAAAAAAATAATGATTGGTTTATAATTCATTAGCGTTTAACAGTCTGGTCTCTCCTTTCCTAAAAGTTGAGTCAAAAGTAAGCTATTTAAAAAAAGAAACTCATAAAATTACATATTACCATGCAGGGATTTCCCTAAGTTATCCTTTCAATCTCTGTAATCTAAAATGTAGAAGTTAAATTTCCACCATGTTTTAAACTATGTTTGCTCTGTGAGAGATCGTCTGGAAGCTGCCAACAGGATTCATTAAAAGACTCAAAAATTATAAATCATAAGGTTGACTCTGGACTAAGCCCTGTTGGTGGTTATCATACATTCTAATAGTAATATCCAGATTTCACATCACAAGTTCAGTCAAAATAAATCAGACAAAAACAAAATCATATCAGCTTTTCTAAAGCATCTTCCCTGGATCTAGATGGAAACTTTCCTAAAACTCAGTTTGGATTATTTAATCTGACCTCGGCTCTGTTAGCATGAGCTCATAGTCTCTGTGATCTTCCAGATGAACTGAGCAGCATCTCTACGTCTCTCTGATGAATTCCTCTGACATCTTGCTGAGAGGTCGTGCTGAAGTTTCTCTGCTCTGCTCCACGAGCAAATAAAGAAAGTTCCACTCGGGTCTGAAAATGGATTTTAATTGCTGCTGAAACCCCGTCTGTCTGCTGGAGCAAACAGGACTTTATTTTTATTTTTTTTAGCTACCAGTGGAGCTCAACATTCCTCTAAAGTTTCCAGGCAGCGCTTATATGTGTATTTAAAATCATTTTCCATTAAGTCTTCATGCGTGAAGTTGATGGGTTATGAACCTGGGAGCAGCTGGCCCAACATACTGCTTATGACATATCACACATTACATAACTAATACATAATTAGACAAATAAACAGTGATGCACTGTGTCTAGAATAATGTATAATATAAAACCCAATAAATGTATTGCAGCTTTACGTCTTTAGGGTGGAGACACCAAGATGTTGTTGGGGTTTTAATCTTTGTTTTCTGTCTCTGATGTGAGACCTGGAGAAGGAGCGGAGCCTGAGGACGGGGGGACATGTCCTCACCAGATGTGGACACAGCTGAGCACTCCAAAGACCAGCCCCAGTGTGAAGGCCATGGGAACGGCCAGCAGGGTGGTCAGCAGGCGGTAGAAGAAGAACTTCACCAGCTCGAAGGTGGCGTGGCTCCCAATCCAAACCCTGTCAAAGCTGTGGGCGGAGCTCGGCTCACCGATCACGTCCTCGAAACCCACCTGTTGAGACACGACGGTCAGACCCGGCCCAAGTCATAAGCAAACTAAACACCTGTTTAGAGCACTACAAACACCAGCTGGGCCTCCAACATACATTACTATACATGTCTAAATACTGTTGGTGTGTCAAATAATTTAAAATGGAATATAAATTAGTTTTCTTTTTTCAGAATGTACGTGATTCCATTAGTCAAATTAATTTTTGTGATTTCAATTTGTTAATGAAAACACAGCTACTGAGTGATCACCACATGTAGTGTATGTTACACCCTGGGCAGTCCAACACACGGTAACATAAAGGTAGACAGGACAAACAAACAATTTACAGAGACCAGTCAACCTCACAGTGACGGTTTTGTACTGTGGGAAGAAACTGGAAAGAATCAATGAAAAAGCAAAACCAATAACGGGAAAAAATCTATTTATTCTAGGAAATTATTTCAGTATTCTTTCAGAAATGGAGACTTTACACTGCGCAACGACCTCCAAAGACAGGCACCAGCAACGGACCCTGCAAGGATAAGTGACCAGAGGCAAATATATTCTTTCACTAAATGTGGAATTAATAAAGTATTTTTGAATTGAACTGAATTTGAATTAAATAAAGTTAACCTCTGTTAATTATGATAATTATTGCTCATCATAGCTAATTAAAGTTCAAAATTAGGTTTTACTGAATACTAGAATATTTAATAAGAGCCATAAAAAATGTATGTAAATCACGTAGAACATCACTGACTTAATGGTTATCTATTGATTCTCCTTCTAAAAATGGTGTAATGCATTCAAGTAATTGAAAAAGAAGTTGACTTTTCTGTTTTGATGTTAAATGGAAAGTTTAATGGAAAGAAAAAGGTTCAAAGTAGCAGCCATCTGCTAGGAAATGTTAGAGAACATCATGTGTTCCTGTTCCATCAGATTTTACAGAGATGCTGAATTCCACTTGGCACCTGCCCACACTTCCATAGATGGTTTATCAGTGGATTTGACTGGATTTCCTTCATTCCTAAAAAGGCTCACAGGCTGGACCAATACTGACTGCAAATATTGTACAGTAAACAGACATCTTTCTGTGTAAAATATAATGTTTATAATAATAATAATAATAATAATAATGCAATTTTGTATAAACCTGAATTACTTTAGTGGAGTCCCGCATACACTTTGGTTTTTCTGACAAAAGCCAAAGCGCAAAGCGATTAGCCTTGAAAAATGAGCAACAAAGATCTGCAGGCCGGAAATAGTTAAGAGATGATGGATGCACGCGCAGGCAGCGACTTCCAGGTATTTATGGAACTGATGAAACAGCCTCACAATGACGACCATAGCAACAAAACGCTCACAGTGAAGTAATAATATGAGTGATAATTCAAAGTGAAACGTCGAGCCTCGGACGTTTTCACTTTTAAAGAGTAGCGCCCCCCTCCCCGCGCGCAGACTTTACCTTCAGATGCGTGTTGATCTCGTTTGGATCCCGAGCCGGTGCCTCCGAATACACCTTCCCCTTCTTCATCAGAATGGGCTCTATGGATCGGTTGAACTCGTCCTCGTCCATAATTATGCTGGTGTTCAGCTTTTCCTTCTCTACACCCATGTCGTGTCGAGGTAGAGGCGGACAGACGGTGCGCTGAGAGCGGCAAAGTGCGCCGGACTGAGCGCCACCCCGCCCCGCAGGGAAAGCAGCGCGGCGGGCAGCCACAGCCAGCGCAGAGCCGCAGTTCGGTGATGAGAGTCGCTACTGTGCAGCAGACAACAGACCTCCAGTTATGTTAAAACACACATTTTCTAAGGTTCATTTCGGTTGCACAAAAATGCTATTTAAAGCCAAGCTCTTTTAAAATGTTTTAAAAACTGTTTTTACTGTTGAAATATTGAATATTGATTTTTGGAAAGAGCAGGAATTTCTTAAAGAGACAGAGGCCCAATTTCAAGGAGTTGAATTACAAAGTCAAGTTTCTTTTGAGTCAAATTTGATGTATAGCATTTTTATAGCAATTTAAGCAAGTATTAGTATCACAGAATATCAGACAACTCAGAGTGCCACTCTTGTCAGACAGGGACACGTTATAAAATAATCCAACAAATATAAACAGATTATGCTTCCTATAATTCCTCACGGTAGAATAGTAATTGATCTAAAACACTTCTTCAAATTAATGGGATCAGGATTTGTTATCAAAAACGTCGTTAACGTGATTAGAATTTAACTGAGGTTGAATGTTACAAATACAGTTATTTGCATGATTTAAATTCAAACTATGTACAGTTACATCTATGTGTTTTTACAATGTACTTTTTTTGTGGTCTAATATATTTTCGAACACAAATATTTTCATGGTGGAATGATTTCCATAAAATCATTCCACCATAAAACATCAAACGCTCAAAACAAATAACTCCTAAGTCTTGGCTATTATTATGTTTGCTTCAAAGAAATACAATCAGTGATTTTATTCACCACACATTCAACTTTTCATTCTCTGTCTGAATGGACTTATAGCTCTATTATGTTTTCATCAACCAACTTTGTGTGAGTTGGTCAAAAGGGAAAACATTTTCTATAGCTGATAAATCACATGGACATGAAAAGGTTTTCTAAAGGTAGGGCTGACATCAGAACAACATGCTTTTGTTTGTGAAGATGAAAAATTATCAACATAAGATAATAATAAAGTATGGCTATGTAGTCAAGACAATATGTTTCATTAATCCACTTCACAGACTGGGTTAGTCTTTTGTTTACTGAGAAATTGCAAGGAATTATGGGCCAAAATTAATTAAAAAAACAAACAGTGGAACTCTTTATGCTCTTGAATTTTTGGAAATGTACAAGGAGTCATCTATTTTCAAACTTACAGTTAAAAATACATATTTTTAATTCGCCTGAAAAGTAATGAAATGTAGTTATGTCATGCTGATAAATATCATCTACCAGTAGGAAAGTTCTAAGAGTAATTTAATCAGGAGTCATAATCTGTCATATTTCATGAAAATCATCATGTTTGTATTCAGAACCACAGTCAGAAGAAATTGTAGGAGTTGGAAGGGATTAAACTAATTTGTCCCACATTTATAAACAGGGCGAAGTGACCCAGAGCCATCTTAGGAGCTTTACGCTGGAATTCTGAAAGAAAATAAAATGTTGGAGCATCTGCTGCTTTAGCAAACTTGTTATAATAGGAAATGCTTTAATAACAAGGAATAAGTGTCATGATCGTCTCTCAAATAAAACCTTCACTGATGCTCCAGAGTAGCATGGTCTTTGCCCTCTTATGCAATTTCACTCAATTCTCATCTCCCTGCAGACCTCCATCTGGGATTTATTCCATTGACCTCAATTTCACAGGATGAGTTTCAGCCGGGAAGGAGGAGTTGAGAATGAGGATGTCAATTTTCTGGCAATGGCAGCAGAGGAAGTGAACGAATCCATGTTGGCCACACATCCAAATATTGAGCAAGTAACGTTTAAGTAAAGTAAAGTAATGTTTAAGACATTTTATTGATGGCAAAATATGTCATTCGGTTCGGTACTTCTCTTGTCGCTGTGGGCGATGATTTGTTTACACTGGGCGCAATTTGTGGTAAACTCCATGGCATGGCTTCCTTCACAATCAAGCCAAATGCGATTCCACGCTTCTCAACAGCTGAGGTTCCAGACGCTCCCTATGAAGTAAAGCGTAGAACAAGGGGCTGGGTTATTAGCTTGGTCCAGAGTCATTGGAGTCAATTTTCCCTTCAGGCTGCACAAAATGTTTTGTCTAATACACAACCTGCACTTTACATCTCATTTGTTGCTGCAGCAGGCTCGGCATCCTGCATCCTAGGATGTAAACCACACCTCTCTCTTTGTTTAGACACCGGGGCATGGAAAAGCTGCCGAGACACAAAAGGAAAAAGTAGGCCATGGGAGAGAGCAGAAACATGGCGTGGCCAACAGATGCTGAGCATCGGAGGCAGTCAGAGGAGTGACAATAACCCACCACAATCCCCGGGGATTAAAACACAGTGGACGACTGGGACAGAGGACACGGTGTAGCTGGTCTGTGGGTGGGGCAGGGTGGGAGGGAGGACAGTGTTGACATGAGGCTCAGCAGAGATAGTTATTCCAGTTGGCTTCAATACCACTGACATGGTTAGACCGAAAGACAATTTATATGCAACCGGCAGCCATGACACGTTCTCACACTAAAAATGGCTGCTGGCGCTTGATGAGAAACCCATCATGTCAGCTTTAACTACACAGGGCAAATTTTAGGCTGCGTCTTAAACAAGTGCTTTCATTTTGAGACTTAACTGAGGCTCAGAGCAAACCACAAGCTTCTGATGAGAGCAATGTTCTTCGTCTTCCTTTCTGACTTTCTAACGCAAACATTTGACTTGCTAATAACAGAGACTCGTCCTCTGTTTCCCACTCGCACACTCACAGATAACTCACACTCCAAATAAGGAATATCTCTACATGGCTGCTTATTCTAGACATTTTGTGCATTTTTTATGAACTAGTGAGTGGTGAGCTGATTTTAAAAATGCCTAAGTGGGAGACATTTTAGACAAACCCTATTAGTGATGGCACTTGTTTCAAGATAAACATGCAGCCATGAATACCAAATACACTGCTCTCTGTTTGTCTGCTCCCAGGAGCTCAGGAAGAAGTTTCTGACTTTGAGTTCATGTGCTGCGATAAGTGACACATTTTGCATACAATGTTATATGAAAATTCATGCACTCACACATAGCCACTGGAGCAGATTGTGAGTTTCACATAAAGGACCATTAATTTGACTGTTATGGTCACAGGTGACTGTTACACCTCAGGCCAGGAGAAGCATTAGGACTACAGCAGAGGAGCAGAGCTGAAGACGATAACTTGAGCTGAGCCTTATCTTATCTCACCTTAAAACAAAGAGGGATGTGAGTGATCATCTGCTGCTGTTACCTAGTCTCTGTCTCGTGATCTACTCTAGGTTTTTTTCAACAGATGTTTAGAACTCATGATTTGGTGCACAAATATGTAAAAAAAAGAAAAAAGGTCATTGTTTGAGGCAAAACAGCTCTCATCTGTGGGAGATAAGAACATTCCATCAATGTTGAATATTTTAGATAATCAGTAACTTGTAAAAGGTAAAAAAAAATATCTTGTGTTAAAGAAGCCTTATGTTTACCTTGTTCAGAGGTAGTGGGAGAACTGGACTTCAGAACTCCTCTAAGTGGGATGTGTTCAAGGAACCCTCACACGGAGATCCTGAGATGGTATCAGACACCTAAAGATCTGTTCAGGTTTTACTTGGAGGATTCCAAGTTTGAAGTTGGGAAAATAAACAAAAAGCTCTCCTGGAAGTTGGAATCCCAAGTCCAAAATCCAACATGGTTGCTTTGGATATGAAATTGTGATAAATGATAAAAAGTATGTGTTCAGTTCTGATAATCCTTTGTAAATCATCTCCTTCATATAATCAGTAAATAGTGTATTGCCACAATGAAAAGAACAACATGCAAAGAATACATTATTAGCTTGTTGTGCTAGTCACAGCTAGCTTAGTCACTGAGCAACCAGCAGATCTTATAGGCTTTGGGATGTGAAACAGAAAAATTGGGTTTGTTATTCTGCCGAGATTCAAGTTCTGACTCCAAATGAAACTGGTAACTGGTAACCAGTAACCAGTAACCAGCCCTTTCTTCTGGTTTCCTGCTCTCCACATCAGGTTGTCCTGTCAGTTTTCAGAATTTTTCACAAATTCTCTTCTCTGTGGAACAATTTCTGATGAAGCAAAGATCAATGTGACTAAACTGTTCATCTTTTTGGTGGTGTTTTTTTTCCACCTCTACATCAAAATGGTTTATTCACATTTACTCATAAATAAATATTGCCAAAGTTAATAATGACATCAAATTTTTTTTAAATGTAAGAATAACAGCTTGTTTGTTTTTTGTTGTTTTCCTGTTTTTTTCCTGTCTTTGTGTTCACACCAATAGAATAAAGACTTTAACAGCCAGCTCAAACAGCTGACCTTCATTCTGGCCAGCCAGCGTATCCATTCTTCAGGTTAATGTTTAATGAAAGGCCAAACAGCCTCTGAACTTCCAGGTCAACATTCCCTGGAGATGAGAGTCCGAAAGCCGAGTGCTTCCGCTGACTTCAAGGGGAACAAATATATTTGTTTGTTCGACGGTTTCCAGAGGGAACAATGATATCAATGCACTCCCAGTACGAAGGGATTTCCTTTTACACCCAAAGAACTCTCATATATCTTGGAGATATGAAATGAACATCACCTCATGATAAACAGGGTGAAAATATGAATGCATACATATCTGTGTGTATAGATGTGTAATGGAAGCTAAAAGTGTTATGGGGTCACACGATGTGTTTTTGCACTTCCCCACTTAGATTAGTGAAATGTGTTCTGTCCTGATCTCAGATTAAATTATACAGCAGGTTGAAAGAGAAACAAGGACAGAACAACGTGGAACAGAAGTAAGGAGGAAATTAATCAGGAAGAAATAAGGCTGGCTGATATTTATTCCATGTGAAATATTTAAATGATATAATCCATCCATCCATCCATCCATCCATCCATCCATCCATCCATCCATCCATCCATCCATCCATCCATCCATCCATCCAAGCAATGTTTTTACCAGCGCCTCACTGAGAG